ACAGGCCGGCACCCATGTTTCATACTATGGTTGATTTCTCAGAGAAGTACCTGGAAAGGTAAGAGCAAGGCAGTGTACCTGTGTGCATGTGTGGGTTCGTTTGTGCTTCAATTTTCATTTTCAAGAATTCTAAAACATCAGAAGGGAGGGTACGAAAGTGTGGGTGGGGGCTGCTTGGCGTCCCACAGGAATAGTTGCTCCAGAGCTGGTAGGAAGCTCTCTGACCTCCACATGGATCTCATTTGACAGTCGCAGTGAGGGAGAAGAATCCCCCCGTGAGGGTGAAGCGCTCAAACTATTTTGGAGGAAGAAGCTTTAACTTCTAACTTGAGGCTGCCCCTTGTTCTTATTATACGCAGCCTGGATTTCAGGAATAGGATTGCTCATGTGGCTTTTGTGGCTAGGAAGGTGAGTTTGCTCAGAAATAGAGCTCTTTTTTTGGTCTTGATTGAGGGAGACGGTGAATGTGATAGTGTTATATTTATGGACAAAATTTAGGACAATTCCCTTTTTCACTGTTCTTCTAGGAATATTGCAGAGTGACTCTCTGATTTGCAGAGAAGGCATGCCTTTCACTTTCTTATCGTCTTACAGTTTTTTTTTTTCATGTTTACGGACTTATCACATCTTTGGAATGTTTTGTCTGTGGAGAAAGTACAGGACATTTGTTCCCATAGCCCAAACAGTGTTAATGTTATTTAAAGTGTTAGGGACACACTGACACAACCCTTGACCCGTTATACTCACACAGACACAGATTCACAAACAGCCTCACACAGTGTTATTCGTGTTTTGTGCCCTGTACTCACTTCAGAGGCACACAGCCTTCTGTAAATAGAAAGTGGCAGAGGGAATGAAAACATGCTGTAAGGCTGCTGCTCTCGCCGTCTGTACTCAATGCTGGACCCCAGATTTAACAGGTCAAGCTTTACAGACGGTGAACCCCACCCCCACCCCCCCTCCACCCCCCTTTCCATTGTGGGAAACAAAGCCTCATGAAGCAAACACAAGTCGTGAAGTGGGATGAAATGGGGCAGTGGATTTGGCCGGTGCTTGTGTGGTACATTGTGATCTGCAGTATGTCTGTCTGTAGCTCTCCCCCATGTGCTCCCAGAGCCTTTCCCTGGGAGTGCGGCCTACTTTTCAGAACACCAGGAATAGCCAGCAGGGTGCTATTAGTGCGTCTAATGTGAGCCAAGCAAAGAGGGAATAAAGAGTACAGAAACCTGCAGATAATTGCGGAGCTAAAGACCACTCGCTCCTTCACTCAAGCACATAAAGCGGCCTCTCTTGTACAGACACAAGCGGACACTCAGGTGTGTGTACACAGTATAATACCCTGTGCTGCAAACATGGATGTGCTGTATATAGTTTGCTCTTGGGGCAGCTGAGCGTACACATTAATTTGCTAATCTTCTGCAGAGCATGTGTCAGCCTTTTATCAGATTAAGAGAAGGGTAGGGGTCAGTGTATGAAATAAATCAAATGGAGTGTGATACATAGCTAATGGCATTAGTGCTGGGGAGCTAGTAGCAGCTGGAGAGATACAGTGAAGAGGGAAAAGTAACAACTTTAAATAGAGAGGTACTCAAAGTGAGAGTGTGAGAAGAGCCATTAGCACATAAAGAGCAGAGGTGCAAAGAACAGCGGTTAAATAAAATTTTAAGTACAAGAAAAGCATCATTATAAAGTGGCGTTCCTAAAAAAAAAAGAAATAGACTCAAGCACATGACTGCTTTCCATCTTTAGTACTAAACAAAACAGACACAGAAATATGAGTTCTTGTGCTTTTGGTTCGCTGTGTTGGTCTGCATGTATCAGTCCCCTTTTCTTCCTGCTTTGAGTCTGAGTTAAGGGTTTAGAGTTTCACCCAAGGAGGTTTTACTCAACGGAGTAATAGCGTTTTCCCTTTGTTTAGGTGATTAGTTATACTTAAGTAGCTGATTTTGCAAAGTCTCTGCGTCCAGAGGAGACTGACATGGCTGTAGTCCTCTGCATGACACTGTTGAAAGCATGAAGAATATGTCTTTGCCCACATGGAGGGAGGAGTATTATGTGGCCTTCCTTCAAGTTGAAGTTGCTGTTGACTCCCATTGACCTAATAATCACAGAAGCTGTTTCATTTATGGCTGTATCATTTGAGCCGGAAGAAAGCTTACACCTCCTGCAGTACGACATAAAACCCGCAGATACATGCAGATGTCGCAGTTTAAATGCAGACGCCACATGTAATACTCACTTGTTTTCAAGAATATTGTCAGAGCTCTGGATAAGTGTCTGAACATAAGTGGAAAAAATAAATCACGGGATAATGGAAGCTTAAGTTGTTTCCATTATGGACACAAACTCCTATGAGGAGTGAAAAAAAAAAGCCTTGCAAGCAATCTGTGCTGCTGTTTGTGTTTGCAGTTTCCATTGACACCCACATGGTGGCAGGATAGAAACATATATCTACATTTCCCTTAAAGTGCCTGTTGTTATGACATCATTGTCACATCATTCCCACGCGGGCTCAGCTTGTATAAAACCAGACATAAATAAGAAAGTCTTTTGTCAGGCCAACAAAATATTTTCCTACCCTTATAAAAAACAAGTTCTTTTCTTCTTCACATGCGCTGGCAAGACAGAGGCTCTCTTTTAGCGAACACGTGCACAACTCAAGACCTAATTGCCTTGAGTCCAACCTAAAAATAGAACAATCTAATAAATCCAACTCTGGTGTTATGAGTTTATTTAACAGCAAGAGAGTTTTTATTTGGGTAATAATGTCCTTCAGGCTTGGAAGTGTGAGCTATTCACAGGGATACTGCATTAGAGCACCCTGTTGTTTCCATGAAACAGAGGCCTAAATTCTGTGCAGCAGTTCATCATCTGGTTTATGCCCGTTTCACGCAATCAACGTATAAGTTATCTCTCCACCAGTGATATTATGTAAACGGTTATGTATTCTTTGGAATTCATTGCGAAATTTGTTTACGAATTTTTTTTTTTTTTTCTGGCTCTCTGTTGTCTTCAGTTGCCTAGAAGGAGAAAAAAAAACTTTCACATAGCTTTTACTAGATGTCACACCAAATGCGGTCACCTTTTTCATTTAGCATACACATTTTTAATGAACCACTTTAGAAGTTCCCCTCTCCTGAATGTGACGAATGCTTTCCAAAGAGGGCTCTTGAGGTTCTCTGAGTTGACTAAAGTCATCTGCACCAGCTCAGCGCCGCAAACCCAAACACACCCAAATCAATCCACTTACAAAGTCACACTCATCCTGATTTAAAAGGAGCCATTCAGCCGCTATTTCTAGCAGCTCATGCAGTCATGTTATATCATGTGTATGGGCAGGTTTCTGCCGTTCCTTTCCTGCAGGCGTTGGAAAAACACACACCTACAGCTGACTGTGTTCTCTGTTCAGTCCGGGAGGCCGCTCTGTGTGTGTGAGACCACGTCACATTTGCACATGCATAAACTGGACGGCCAGTGTGAAACGACATACATCAGACTTCAGAGAAAGAAATAAAATTCATAGTAAATGATCCAGATCTGCCCTGAAATTGAATGGACTTCATCGCTGACCCACACCCCATCCCTCCACTGAATTCGGTGCAAATCGGTTCAGTGCTTATTGCATAATCCTACTGACAAATAAACAGATAGGGGTGAAAACATCATTTAATTAGCTCTCTCCTTCTTCCCTTCACACACACATGCACACACTGGTGCAGACTGGGAGTTTCCCAACACCTGTGACTGGCATGAAAGCACCAGTGAAGTGGGCATGAGTTGGCACATATACAGGGGGTGTTCTTTGAGATGTTTGCGTGGGTGTTCTTTTATCCCCATCCGAGTGTATTCATGTACAGTGCACCCACCCCCGGGTGTTCATGTTTGAATGATATGTGTCTATAACAGGAAGCTCTGTTTCTTAATTTGGGGTGTACATGCTCTCCTGGGGGCTGCGGGCTGGCAGTGGGACAGCTTGCAGTGATAAGGGCCAACGAGCGCACACCACCGCGCTGCATTATTAGCAGGCCAGCCAATCCACAGTGGAAATCAAAAGCAGGGACTCAGGAAATGGGTGTTGAGTGAGGTCACATCCCATTGAGGCAGCACGTGCTCCAGGTCGGGAAAAGCCAGGACAGGCACCATGGGATTATGGGAAAGCGCAGTATTCTGTTGGAGCCCATGGGGGCCGAGGGGTTGGTGTATTACTTGGTTTGAGCGTTAAGGTGGCCAGTACAGGATCTGTGTGTGTGCGCGTGTGTGTGTGTGTGATGGTTGTCGATTGGGGAAACAGGTGAGGTGGGCGGTTTGGAGGATTTTGGATGCTGCTGCTGGTGGGAAGCAGCAGAGGAGTGAGGAGGTCACTGTGCCCTGTTGCCTCGGCCCTGGGTCAGCTCCCTCTCAGCAACCCCTCTAGGCACATGGAGAATGGCGTGATGAAACAGAGGAGTGAGCATTGAGTCTCTCTCCTCCTTCTCTGCCACATTCGCTCAGTCCCTGCCGAGGAACCTGCCAGGGACACATCTACAGGAAAGACTGTTAGAGATATTAGATTGACAGGAGAGACACTGACACGAAGCGAGGAAAAGGAGCCTGATATCTGCCTTTTGGAGAAATTCTCTTCCACCATACCAACATACCTGGCTGAAGACTAAAATGTACACAACACGACATCTATTTTCATCTTTTCTGGCATTTCTGGGTTTGATATCATATGGATTGGATTTACAGTGCTGAAGGGCTTAATTGGTGATTGCCATGCCTTGGATTGTTTCAATTGTGGACATTGGACTTGGACACTCAACACTTTTCTTCCCATCTCTCTTTTTGTCTACCTCCTCTATCTACTTCATCATCCCTGTCATCCCTGATTCCATTTTTCTCCTCCTCCTGCTTCAACTTTCCCCCCTGCTTCTTTTACCCATAAATCTTTCTTCCACTCCATTCCTCTCTTTCCAACTCCTTCTCTCCTCCTTCCTCTCCTCTGTCTTTCTCTCACTCAGGGCCAAAGACATGAAGAATCGGCTGGCTTTCCTGCGGAGGAGGAATGAATCCCCAGGAAGCAACCCAGCCAGCAAGTTAGACAAATCTATGAAGTCAGTCAAGTAAGTGGCCACTTCCTGACAGCATGTGCATGTGGGTGTGTGTGTAAGTGGCTTTCCGGGTCTCGCCACAACTGGTGATGACCTGGTGTTGGAAGACAGACATGTGGGCAGTAGGAGAGATGGGAGTGTGCTTGTAATGCGTGGTGTTAATAAAATGAATGGGAGCATGTGTTAGTAAGGACGGCATGTCAGAAGGAGGGAAAGTGAATTGTTTGGGTGTTATTTGTTTTAATGATTTAAAAAATATATTTACCATATGAAATATATTAGTTTAATATATCACACTTTTGAAATCTCAGCGATTGATGTGATATTAAAGACTGAAATTGTTTCCACGTGTATTTTGGTCATTGCATTGGACTTCACAGGAAACTGTAAAACATCAGCAAAAGATATTCTTTATGAACTTTTAATATATTCTTTACTTAGTAATCATTTAGTTGCAAAAATCTCAATCAATGTCATCTGTAGAATTACATGCAAATATAAATATCATAGGTTGTTAAATTGTAATTTCTCTTATAACAGTAAAGTTGTCAGTGCACTTTGCCAAGAGTAATTCAAGAATGTGATTACTGTATGTCTGCTTATTTTTCAAATAGCAGCTTGAACACATGAAGGACAGTAAGACAAACAAGATGTTAAAGAACAAATGTCATTTTAGTCGATTTGTCAGGACAGATCTCAATAGAATCTGTGTCAAATAACGGCTCAGATGTGGACTACACTGAGTGTAGGACAAGCCCTGGAAGGAGGCGTGCTTCATAGCAGGGAACAGAAAAGATGAGAGGCAGCAGGGGGCAGACACAAGCCAGTGGGGGGAGGAGGTCTCTAAACCCAACAACGCATCCCCATTGGACGGCGGAAGCCCCTCCCCTCCCGCCTGCCAACTTGTCTTCAGTGGGAATATAAAAACCTACCCCCACCAGAGTGAAGCAGACAGACTCATGGCTCTCAGTGTTGAAACAATCTGTAGGGCAGAACTGAATGTGAGGGAAAGAGCAGTAGACACAGACTAGAGTGGAGCGAGGCAGCGGAGAGGATTTACCTACGTCCAAGTTTCCACTCATCTACTCAGCATAGACAAAGTTCTGCGGATGGGTCACACAATGAGAAACCTGGCTGAGATGGGCTTGTTAAAGAATCGCTCTGCTTTTATCTGCAGGCCCACCCCGGAGGAAGCACTGAAATGGGGGGACTCGCTTGACAAACTGCTGGGACACAAATGTAAGTTACTTTTAATTTCTTAAATTTTTTTCTCTCATATTCTCCTTACTTTACATACATGCAAATCAGCTATCTGTTGTCTTTAACATGTTTGGCATATAGTTTAGTACAAGAGAGTGAATAAAGACATACGGTGCATGCTTAAGGTGGTGGGGGAGGCTGGTTAATCACAGGAAATATGCGTGTATTGATATGTGAAACACACACACACACACACTGCCGCAGTGAACGGGCAGCTTGCAGCAAGTTTACCTAATCCCAACAGACAGAGTCCATGCGTTACATAGAAAGAAGGGGGAAGAAAAAAAAAACAGGCAACCTTCAAGTGCATTGCTATTTCTGTTTTCCACAATTCATCTTCCACAGTTTAGTTTCAAAGCCGATACCAAGCCAGCGCTACATCTGTTCCTCATCTGGCTTTGTTGACCTCTTTATTCTCCCCCCTCTAATTTCCTCCCTTCTACAGTACCTCTTACCTCACTCCTGCTTACCAGAATGAGGTAAGACATGACTGCTTGTATTGGCGCTGCTTATCAGCTAGGGTGATTCATGGGAACGGAAAGGTGCAGACAGGAGTAGTGGGTGGACACGGCTTCCTGCCTTTCTTTCTTCTGGATGCCTTCTTCCTCAAATCATTAACTGGACCGAAACTTAAAAAGCCCGGAGATCCAGAATTACCCCCCCCCCCCCCACACACACACACACACACACACACACGCACACACACACACACTGAAACAGCAATGTCTTTGTTCATTCACTGCGTGTGCATAGGGAGACGCATATATGTCATGCTGAATAATAAGGAAGGATTGGGTCAGCGGTGTGATGTCACTCAAAGGATGACAGGGGCTTGAATATGCACTGCGGTGTCCAGAAGGGTTTTTAATGTCTCACTTTATTCCAACCACATGACTCAAAAAGGCCGTCATGGAGCTATTTTAGGCGCTGAAACTTCAAGGAGCGTTTCAGCTGTGAGGTTGCCATGGCACTCTAGTCAACTCTCCTCTTGTTTATTCTCCTCCTCCTCCTCCTCCTCCTCTCTGCTCTCTCTCAGATGGTCTGGCAGCGTTCAGAGCTTTCCTGCGCACAGAGTTCAGCGAGGAGAATCTGGAATTCTGGCTAGCATGTGAGGAATACAAGAAGATCAAGTCACAGTCCAAGATGGCCTCAAAAGCCAAGAAAATCTTTGCAGAATACATCGCTATCCAGTCTTGTAAAGAGGTGAGTGAGAGTGAAAACAACTCACATGGAGACTGGAAAAAATGACATCAAAACAGCCTCCTGCAAAAAAAGAAAAGAAAAAGAAAAAGAAAAAGAAAAAGAAAAACATGCTTTTTCCATTTTGTGTTTTTTCAAAATAAGAGCGTAACCTTACACTTGCCTCACTTGTTTTATTCTTTTCCTCTGCAGGTAAATCTGGATTCGTACACCAGAGATCACACTAAGGACAACCTGCAGAATGTGACACGCTCCTGCTTTGACCTAGCGCAGAGGCGGATATACGGGCTGATGGAGAAGGACTCATATCCCCGCTTCCTCCGCTCAGAACTCTACTTGGACTTAATCAACCAAAAAAAGCCCAGCTCCACTTCGACTTCATCTTCATCATAAGAGACCAGAAAAAGCTAGAAAGAAGGAGAAGAGAAAGATGATGATTGATGATGATGATGATGATGATGATGACTTGAAAAACATACAGTGGGTGGGTGGGATGTGAGGTTCTTTGTTTGCCTTTTTTTAATTTTTCTTTTTGTGTCTGTCATCCTGTTCACTATAATTTTTTTTTTTGTTGTTGTTGTTGTTGTTTTTATGGTGTGAGAGGACGCGGCAAAGCTATGGCACTGCAAAGGAATGTAGTTTACACAGTTACCAGGTGGATGGATGAATGGATGGACTGATGAATGCATGAATGGATGTTACTAAAAAATACAGAAGCCCACAATCGAGGGCTGGAGCAGGAGCTGGACGCTTGTCTGATCACTGTTGCGTGTTTTTTTTTTTTTCTGTCAGTCTCTTGTAAGGAAAAAAAAAAAAGACATTTGTTTGTGTTTTTAAGTTTTTGTCCAGTTGTACTGGAGAAAAGGAGGGGTTGTTCAAAAAAAACCCTGCAGACATGAAGACAGTCCGGTACTGTTTTGTCACTTTTTTCCTTTATTTCCCTTTTGAAACTCCCACTTTAAATCCCCTCCTTTCCTCCACCACGTCCTCTGTGAAGCCACTTCAAAAGCTGTTGGTACGACACAACGTCCTCTTCCTCGTGTTTTTTTTTTTTTTTCTTTCATCAAGCTCCAAACTGTATGATGGACAGAAGAGAAAAAGAAAAGATGATGTCTGAATGAAAACTAGTGTTGTGGCTCAGTTTCACATGCATCTCTGTTAAACTCTACATCCTCTTAAAGCTTCTATAAACAGCTTCCAACTTATTCAGTTCATCCCAAGACTGTGGAAAGATACTGTGAGCGTTCAACGGGGACAGAGGCGGAGACAGCGACGGGCAAAGAACACAAATGTATAAATAACGGATGGACTGGAGCTGTGAAGAAACACAGACGTGTCATTCTCACATTAAAAGACGAGAAGATCAAGTCACAGTCCAAAAGACATTCAAAATCACATTCAAAGCCAGAGATGGAAAAAAAAAATTAAAAAACGACGACTTGCTTCCTTCCTCTCTCCAAAGACTGTTTACAACAAGGAATGAAAACACAAGAAGCAAAAGAGAAAATGTTCGGTGCAGCCAAACGCCATTTCCTTTAACATTGTAGCTCATTCTGGACTAATCGAGGAAGCGTTCTCAGGACATTGCTATGACAGGTTCCAGCTTGGTTTATCTTCTCAGCTGTTTCTGTTTTTCTACACACGCTCGCTGTTTTTATATGCTTTAGGGTTCCTACCTGCCCTTCTGTAGTTCTACTGAGCAATACACGAGAGGTTGCTCCTTTCATAGTCTGAGGAAAAAAAAAACTGCTTCATGTTGTACAAAGGTTTTCGCCTATTTATTTAGATTAACTTGCTGGATGCTTCTACAGACACCCTCACCTCCTCCAAAGCACTCGGCTAAAAGCTCTCACTTTCCTCTTAACCACCAAACAGGTCCAATGCTGTCCTGAACTTTAAGTGCAATATTTTTTTATTCTTTATTTTATTTTATTATTATTTTGGTTTGTTCATTTATTTGGATAATTTTGAATTTTTATGGGGAAGACGAAACGGCTTGAGCTCTGTATTAACTTTATTTGTTAAGAAAAAAAAAAACGTAGAGCTATAAGGTTGACTTACAACGTAAACTTTCAAGAAGCATAAGTAGTTTAATGAATTTTAAGCAAGTGATTCTAACTGTGTGTTAACCCCTGGCAGCAGGCAGCTGGGGACGTTATGGTTGTAAATATAATTCTTTAAGAAAACTATGTGATAACACATTAAAAACAAACAAAAACAAAAAGCTGATAGGTCTCTGCTGGTGATGAATGTGGGACCCAGCTGTATCTATGTAAATATGAGAGACTCAAAACTATAAGATGACATGTATTGTTAAAACATTAGGTGAGCAAGAGCAGGTACAATCTGCTCTTTTCCCTGGTCATACACTGCTTGTAAGGAGTTTTCTGAAATGCATTTTATCATTTTCACTGTTTACAATTCAAAATGCATCTCCTATGATAGCAAGTGAAAACAGTAGAGTACATTTGGTGTCATTGCTAATGATAAATAAACCAACCAACTGAAGAAGTAAGACATGTTGTCTGTGATTTTTCTTATGATGTGTGTTTGATAACATTCATGCCGGCGCATGTCGTTCACAAACATGCAAGGACAGATGTGCATTCAAGTAGCAGACAGTAGAATGAAGTTGCTCAAAGGAATAGTTTGACGTTGGAAGCATGTGCAACTAGTCTGGCTCTGTCCAAAGTTTAAAAAAAAAAATCTGCACCTCTAAAGTTCCTTAAATAACACGTTTATTAGTCTGTACAAAACCCCAAATGTAAACATGACAATTTGTGGTTTTACGGGGAGTCACGTGCTACACCAGACCTCATGACAAGACTGCCTCAGCAAGAAATCTGAAACAAGACATATCTTGTTAATATCTCAGCTGAGAGGTGCTAATTGGTGTGTTTTTAAAGAAATGTTTTAACCATTTCCTCTTACTTTGGCGAAACTAATTGCTTGCTGCCTCTAAAGCTTCATATTTAGTGTGCAGACATCTCATCTAACTATTGCCAAAGAATGTTAAACTATTCCTCTGAGTCAATTGAATATTGAAATCCATCCACCTGGAGGAAATTCTGGTTTATTAAAATGTGGGTCTGCCTCTCATAGTGTTAACCATCATTCGTATTGGTAATAACAACCTTGGACTCACCAAGTTAATTGCTGAGACAACGGTGCAAACACAGAAAAGAAGTCAGACGGGGGGCGGGGGGCAAGAAACAGAAGCGGTCAGACAAAATTACAGACAGATTCCTGGTTCATCTTCAGCCAGTCATATAGTTGTGTGTGCATAGTTTTCTCCAGCAAGATAGAGACAAAACTACTACAGAAAAGCAACATCTATGAACTCCAAATCTGATACAAACTGAAAAATAACAAGAACTGTTTGAACGAATTACATGAATTGTTTCCACACTCTGTCAGCTTTGTCCTACATTACATGGAGCGGAGTCGTATTTGGTGTGGTGATGCAGACCATCAAGGCTTGTTCTGAACCCAGCTGTCTGGTTTCCTGATAAGAAGAGCAAGTGAGTGCGACACAGGGTCGAGCTTTGGCCGGGTTGTTGGGATGGGATGAGAGGAAACAGTTGGAGGTTTATGAGTACAGTGTCTGTGTGTGTGTTTGTCTGTGTTTGGGGGGAGGGGGGTTGATCAGTCTGAAGTGGTGTTGGAGACAGTAGTAACAGCGCCTAATCTTCTTTACCAGCTGCCATCTGTTTTGACAGAGGCAGTTTCTTCTTCCAAAGGGAATTGTCATCCACCTCTCTATCGCCTCTCTTGGCCTGTTTCCTCTCCGTCTCACTCCCTGTTGAATGTCTCTTTGTCTTCAGAACCCACGCTCGTGTTACTCCATGCTCATCTTAAATGCCATACAATGGAGGTTCCGCTCTTGTGCTGGATTCCTTCACCAAATCCTTTTGTTCAAGTTTCCTTCCCCTCTGTGATCTGTATAAACCATATCACAGAGTCTGTCATTGTTTTCAAATTCAGCTGTCACGTGAGCCCCAAAAACGCGCCGACTCGCATTTCCTGCCTCATTCTCCGCTTTCCTGCTGTTCCAAATATGGCTGTGAATGCTTCCTCCATTGTGACAGTCTCTTATCTTACATTCCTGTCAAGTGCAAATTTGTCACGAGGATATAGCGTGAGATTGAACATTCTAAAGATATCCATGTCTTGTCTGATGGACTACAAGCAAATAAGTTTCCAATACCTTTTTTCATTTTTAGCTTTGCCAGTCCAGTAGTCCCTCCGACTATAATATTGTAAAATTAAAATAAACTGAAGGGTTGTGTCCATCTTGTTTTCACAGGTCTGGTATAAGAAGATCACTTTATTTAATTAGTGCTTTTTACTCTTCAAGGAGCTATTTGCAATTGCTGCATAGCCAACGTTAGCATTAACAGAAGAAGAAGAAATGTAAGAAGAAGAAACTTTTAATTGCCAAGAGCTGTCTTCAGTGGTGGAAAGCAACACCAATGTTAGCATGCTAATCAGCTAGCCCATCTTTCACTTTCCAATAGCGACTCACTGTAGCCTCCAATCTGCTCTGAAGACGTAAAGCTGCTTGAAAGGTGTAGTACAACCTCTTGTAAGACAACAATGGCCAAAGGTCTAATATTCTCCAAGGAGTAGTTTGAGATTTTTAGGAATACACTTATTTTCTTTCTTCCCAAGAGAACAGACATATCTGTCTGTTGTAAAGCAAAAGCTATCAGGAAATTAGCTTAGCTTAGCATAAAGACAGGAAGCAGGGGGCAAACGCCATTCGGCCACGAAATTGTCAAATACATAAGTCACCATAAAACCATAATATGTTGTTTTTACTTTTCTGTATTTGTACAGACTAAAGTAACAAGATATAATGTTTTTAATTAGTGAGCTTTAGAGGTCTTGGTAGGCAGATTTCCACTTTTTGTGGTATGCTAATAAGTTAATGGGCTGACATTATCTAATGCTTGGAAAGACGGCAAGTGCATTTCGCTAAATATAAAACAATTTCTTTGCGTGTCCATCAGGCCTTAAAACTTTTATTAATTGTTTTATGAAGTTTTATTTTAATTCCATAAGAGGATACATACTGTCCAGGACCACTTGGAAACAGGTCAAAAATTGCTGCACAAAGAATGATTTTTTATAACAGCTGTGAACACTGATTAACACTGCATAACAGCACAACTCTTTAGCAAGTTATTTTCACTCTTACTTAAAATATGGATACATTTTTTCACTCTTTAAACAGAAAAATGCAAGTTGTACAATGAGATAATCCCTGCAATTACCCCTGGATGAGGATTCTATTCACCCTTTTCACTCTAAATAAAGATATGAAACTATGTGACTGAATGTTGTAACAGTTATGAAACATTCCTGTTTTTTTATGCCTCTATCAGATGACACCATGTAAATAACCATGTCAAAAGCAAGCTGTTAAACTGCATATTTGATATCTGTTTCTAGCATCATGAACTCAGAAGACCCATAATATGTAGTCATGCTGAATTCAGTGGGGCTCCCCCTCTTCTCCCTCATATTATTATTCTCTTATTTGTGCAGCAGTCGAGGGGCTTAAGCCTTGATTAATCCTTAATTCTCAGATCAGCCGATCCTTTCAACTCTTGGCAGGTTTACAAAAGAAACATCACGTCTCCCCCGCTGCCCTTGCTGACTCAGTGGACCCCTCAATCCTGTTTGGTTTTTGTTTTCTGTCTGCTCTGTGTACTGCATGGAGTGGATATTTTATTTTCAACACACACACACAGTTTAACACAATTTGTGGACAAAAAAATAGAGGAACGTTTTCACTAGAGTGTCTGTCTTATCTGTGTTTTTTCTCATACACTCTTCTCAATTTCTGACTTGCTATTTGAGGTGATGTCATCATGAGCTCAAGATCTGTTTATTTTCTTGCACCCCCTCGTAACTGTACCATCTGTCAGTTAACAGGTACATGCTTTCAGGTTTTCCTCAGTGTGGCACAAATGTAAAAGGAGGGTCCTAACTGCGCTGAGCTCACCTTCACTGTCTCTTGAGTGGATGTCGTCATCGCTGCTGGTAGACATGGACTTTAAAAACAGCAACAGACAGAGGAAGGGAGAGTGGAAGGAAGCAGAATTTAATAGCCTGTCTTATCCCAGTGGTCTAATCAGAACAGGTCAGCTTTATATATAGATGCCCTTTATAGAAATAGATAAGTTTTACACAAGTATTGCTGATGTTGAGATGATGAGATGAGGGGCTTCAGAGGAATAGTTTGACGTTTTAGCAGACGCATTTATTTGTTCAATATGCAGCTACAACAAGCAGCCAGTTAACTTAGCTTTGCACAAAGACTGGAAACAAGTCTGGCTCTGTCCAAAGGTAATAACATTGGCCCACCACTAACTCCGAAGTTCACAAATTAACACGATACATTTGTTAAGTTTAATCATTAATCATTCTCATTAATACGGGGGAGAGATGACGGACATTGTGACAGACATGATGAGTCACATTTCTGACGACTGGTAGCTGAAGTCTCAGTAACCATCCTCCCACACTAACCCTCTTAGGCCCACAATTAGACTTTTACATTTTGTCATACCTCTGTGTTTTTCCTAATAAAGTTGTTTTGATTTTTAAAAGTTTCACCAAGTGCTACACATATTCAGAATCAGCACAACCTCAGCTAATTATATGTCACTCAATAGACTTCTTTACAATATAAGAGGTTAATTGCCCATAAAACAAAAAACAAAAACAAAAACAAAACAGACAAACAAACAAAACTGTTTTTTCTCTTTTCCTTCCTTGTACATATTTGTTTGAGTTGGTCTAGAGGTTATTTGAAGTTTCTATCTTTATCTGATCATGAGTTCTGCTCATTCTCTGGAGCAGTATTAATGGGAGCTTTTTGTCTGCTCCTTGAAAAATCAGCTCCAAAACCTCTGCTGCTCTAAATATCTTACTGGTCACATCCTTTGGTCTTTAGTCTGTCACTACATAAACTCAGAACAACTTCTCCTCACTTTGACCTCAGAATAAAACGGCACTGCTCCAATTAAGTTTGGGTGTACAGCCACGGCAGGCTAAGCCTCTGAATCAGACACTCTGATTGGCTGTGACCTCACCCATTGGAGTCGAATTGAGTGACGTGGCTGTAGAAGTCACTGGCAAGGAATGCGGTTGAGAGCCAATCGGCAATGCGCCAGACAAACGGTAGGACTACTCCAAGTAGTTTTAAGTTTTAATGTTGGTGTATCGATCGAAGTCAGTGACTCACACGGACGAACCGCGGCTTGCTAGAAAGCGCAGCTTGTCTCGTTTAAGGAGAAAGAAACGTCACGTTTCTAGTTCAAACGGTCGCGCAGTAATGACGCTGTGCGGACAACATAAAATTTGGAAGAATATCTGATCCCATTGGCCTAAGGGGGGTTAAGCACAGCAAACCCACATTTTGAATCATATACCAAAAAAAAAAAAAGCATTTCTAAACTACAACTAAACACAGTGATAACGTCTCACTTAACCAGCCACAAGGTG